TGAACCTTCCAACTTGCCACTTCACTGGACCCCTTTTTGAGTCCATGGCTCCCTTGACCAACTACATTCTTTCTGTGGCACCCCTGTGAGGGCTCAGGAGTCCAGTCATGTCACCTCTTGCCTGCAGAGCTGGCAGCCTCTCACCCTTTTTCAAACACCCTTCCTTGTGCAGTGTTCCCTCAGCCTCCTCTCCTCTACCCGAGAGTCCTCTGGGCAGCTACTGCTGCAACAAACAGCTGTGCAAGCCTTTGGGAGGAAGAGACGCAAGAGGGCATTAGAGGAGGGAGGGAAGGAAAGAGGGACAGAGGCCAGTGTTGCCTGTGGCATCCCTGACCATCATTCAAGGCGCCCAAGTGTGCCATGGCACACTGGTTGAAAACCACTGGGTTCAGGTGTTATGGAGGAAGGGTAACAAAAAGCTATCTTTCTCCACTCCGTGAATAATTCAATACAGCTTTGTAACATCCCAACACGCCAAAATGAGACTGTCAGATGGGAGGTAGAAAAATGGGACATAGCTGCGATCCAGCAGTTAGGTTGGGAAAGAGGACCAGGTTCCCGTACCATTAAGTTTTATAGAAGAGGGAATATCAGCATGCGTTGTTTGCCTCACTTACGCTCCTATTTAAAACACATGCACAAATAAGATGGGTTTAGCCTAATCTCTGGGTATGAGGATGAATTAGGCTGTTTAGTAAGCAGGCTACAAAGATGAGCAAAATGGCGTGGGGGTCTGAGGATTTGCCTTAACAGGCTTTAAAAGGCTTGCTTTTGTTTGAAGACTTTGGTATTTTTCATGTATTCCCTAGTTCTTGAGAAGATCGGATGTAGCAATACTGGGCTGGGTTCCTTTGGATATGAAAGGGGAAACTAGAGGCTTACAGCGGCTTAGCAACATTTATTTTACTTAAATACAAACATATAAGCAAAGTACAGTGGAAACAAATCAGCTTCTACAACAGGGAACTAAACTGCTAGTCTTGCAACAAATTCAAAAGAGCTGCTTTTTCAACAATATGGAGCTGTGCCCTAGACTTGGCTAATAAGGGAGAATGAGGATAAGTATTTTATGTGTTCATCTGAGGAAGGGGAGCCTCATTATTCCCCACTGAGAGTTGCACATCTCCCTGCAGTGTCCTCCTTTCATTGTCATTTTTTTTTGGGGGGGGGTTGTGTGAATTATAAGAGTTCTGGTGTGACATCACTTCTTTGTTTTGTCCTAGAAAAAGGGTATTATACTGATGTTGTTGTTTTGCATTTTTATTCTAGAGGAGTAATGTCTGCATTTCTTTTTGCCAGTGGAGAGAGACTATTCAGACTTCTCATCTTAAAATGATTGTGATGCTGGAGACGACAAGCCTGAGGAGTTAGCTTTGTGGGTCTTTGCAAAGGGTGTGTGACCCAGGCAGTTCTGCTGGCCTAGGCTCCTTCCTTGGTGCTGCTTAAACCTGTGATATTGCTTGACCCTACTAGTCTGTTTCTTCATGATGTGCTTCCTGCCACTGAGGATTCTAAAGCCAAGGTCTCTCTTTATGTAGAATGTACTTAAATGTAGTACTTTTGCTCAGTTGTAAAGTACATGCTATATATAAGGGAAGGTTCCAGGTCCAATCAGTATTATTCACCGTTAAAAACAAAACATCTGAGCAATGAGGAATGGAGAATCTTGACATCCTGAAAATCTGCTGTCAGTCAATAGTAGACAATACAGGGCTGGATGGAAAACTAGTCTAACACAGCATCTCACGTCCCCAACAATCTTAGATCATATTCAATAAGTTGGAGAGGCATAACTTATTATGGTGAACTCATTCTTTTTACTAGATTCTATACCATCTTTTGTTATTCTTTCGAGATTGCACTTTGCTGCTTGTTAATAGTTGTACAGTGGTACCTTGGGTTAAGTACTTAATTCGTTCCGGAGGTCCGTACTTAACCTGAAACTGTTCTTAACCTGAAGCACCACTTTAGCTAATGGGGCCTCCTCCTGCTGCTGCGCCGCCGGAGCACGATTTCTGTTCTCATCTTGAAGCAAAGTTCTTAACCTGAAGCACTATTTCTGGGTTAGCGGAGTCTGTAACCTGAAGCGTATGTAACCTGAAGCGTATGTAACCAGAGGTAGCACTGTAAATGTACCAGAAGTACCACTGTAAATGTTAATGTACCGATGTTCTGATTTGGTGTAAGGCAGCTTCCCATGGTCCTAATTTGTCTCATGGAGGTGGCACTGATTAAGAAGTGGAGTGTTCTCTGGTTTACTCACTGGTTTCCAAACTGTATTACCAGCACCTATGGAACAGCCAGAGCCATCAATGAGCAATTTTGCCCGCAGGCTTCTGGTGTGGTTCCCTTGGTGACTGTGCAGTGCTCCTCAGCAAAAATAAACAATGGCTATCCTACTAATGTGGATGGGGGCTGCTTTTGACTGGTTTGTGTGCTGTTAAAACAGTAATTTGCTTTGCACATGGCAATGGTGGAGTACAGAAGGCAAGTACCACAGCTCAGCCTCTTGTGCAAATTGAACCAGATTTTCAGGACAGCTCATCTATAACTATTCTAGAGCAAGTCTAGTCTCTCTCCTTAAGTTGTGGAGTCAAACATTTCAAGGCCAATTTCCATATGGTATGCCCAATGTGCTGGTGGCAGTTGTTTGGTAAGTCAATGTTATATATATGTGTTTGACCAGCAGGGGGCCCCTTTGCGTCTGAATGATCAATTCTTTGGCAAGAGGAAAGAATCTTGTTTAAAATGTACAGTGCTGTATCCAATTGATGGTTATTCCGAGTGGATCCACTAAATTAACGGAACATTTTGGGCATATCTGTTTATTTCATAAAATTTATATACCGCTTGATTGTAGAAAAAACCCCTCAAAGCAGTTTGCAAAAAAAGATTAAGGGCAAAAATGAACTGCAAGCATGCAACTGCTGGCCTAGGGTGCAGAGGTAAGCAAATTGTATAGCTTGACCGAATTGTTTTGATGGCTCAGGCTATGTATCAACACAGAATTGGGTGTGAGGAGTGTAGGTGCAATATATTTTAGGAAGTTAAGGCTTGTTTACTTTCATGTATGTGACCTTTTATGGCAAGAACTACAATGTGGTTTGCTTACCTGCCCCCAGCATGGCTGTGAGAAGTGTACACAGCCCACGGCAACAGCAGGTGCAATACCTTTTGTGACGCGGTGATGCCTAGTAGCAAAAGCTGCTCAGGCAGAGCTAGTTAAAAATAGCACCATCATGCACCCAGGTACCAGCGGCGTTGCACGACCGTCTGTGGTACAAAGTGCGCCTTGCCTGGTGGATGGTTAACGGAGAGAGAACTATGCAGGTGCAGCGGTGATCTGGTGCTTAACGCTCAAACTGGATTGCATCAACCGTTTCAGGCCAATAGCCAATATCAGCGAAAAAGTTTTAGGTCAATACTCTCTGGCAGAATATATAGCTGAGCAGAAGCATTCTCAGGCAAAGCTGTTTCTGCTTCTAAAGCAACAACAGGAATGTCCACAGACACTGGATCAGGCTCCTGTGGCACTTGCTGCTAGTGAGCCTGGTGTGCTTTTAGCAGTGATCACAAGAAACCTTTAAGGTTTCTAGCTAGCTGAGCTTGTTGCTCCTGCTCTATCTTCCTCCTCTTCCTGCCTTGTGCACCTCTTTTTTTTTTTTAGCATCCTGGCTGACATGGCATGTCTGGATGTGTAGTATTCTCTGAAAAATCAAAAAACATAATAATAATAATAATAATAATAATAATAATAATAATAATAATAATAATTTAATCATCCCCTGCCCATCTGGCTGGGTTTCCCTAACCACTCTGGGGTGCTTCCAACAAATTAAAACATGACATCAAACATTAAAACTTCCCTGAACAGGGCTGCCTTCAGATGTCTTCTAAAAGTCAGATATTTTTATTCACTTTTATCCCTTCATTGTATAACAATTTCTTTACTTTGGTAAATGTTTAAACCATTTAAAAATTGAATATCTATATCTACATCTCTCTCTCTCTCTCTTACATTATATACTTGAAACAAAAGAATAAGAAATTACTGCATCAGCAAAAAACTAACCTAAATGGTTATAGTAAAATATGCAGGAATGAGAGTTAAGTAAAATGAACCTTGGAAGGAGGGAATATTATGTAAAATGTTTACTGTGAGATGTAAAATTGAAAATGTAATATATATATATATTTTAAAACCTAACCTGTTGACATGCCAGAACAACACAATTCACCAAATGACCGAACTATCAGCACATGCGCACACTGGCAATAGCATCATGTATTTAACTCTGTGCTGGAACACTAAATTGGCATTACTTGGTGGAAGTATTTTGATATTTTGACAGATCTTAATTTAGCGATCAGATTGTTGCCACATGCACAACTAATGGAGGTCACAGCATGTTTCATAAATACAAAGTGTAACACGAGTTTCTGCACACATTTGTAAGGTGAAAGAATGTCATCCCGAGTAGAAAATCTTCTGTACACATGCATTTTAAGGATTACTTTAGGCATAAGGTGGATTTTTGAAATTGTGCAACACAACTATCAGTGTCACACACATCACAGAGCCGAGACTGGTAGGGGAGAAGAAGTAAGGCTTTCTAGGTGCCCATTGCAACTCGGTGATAAATTATGAGTTTTATAATTATGATTTTCTAATATGTTACGGAATATTACAATACCGGTATCTTCAAATGGGAAATAATACTATTACCAGGCATTATGTAATTCACTGATAAGAATTACATGAGGGCAGTATTGCTGTAATTAGCCAGGAAAATACTGTGGTACCTCGGGTTACATACGCTTCAGGTTACATACGCTTCAGGTTACAGTTGCTTTTCGCTCCCACATCATGGAGCTGAAGGAATAAACGGAGCATTGCTCACACCATGTTCTCCGCTTAAGTTTGCCTCAGCAGCTCCTCTCTGCTTCACAGAGCCCACTCCAGCCACCCACAACCTGCCCAGCAGAAAACCCACCCAAGATTTTATATATAACTTTTTATTGATTTTTCAATTTTTAAAAATACTTCAGTACATGATAAAATTGTCTTTTCCCGACTTCCAGACCCATTTTCCATGGTGTTTTAATTTCTCCCCCTCTACTGCACAATACCTTCTATTTCTTATACCAACAAATCAGTACTGTATTCTTTAGTTCCTTTTGTTGCTCATATTTAAAATCCACCTTGCGAGTTCATCAAACTAAGATTTCCTTAAGTAGTCTGAAAAGGGCTTCCCTTCTTCCACAAAACAATCATCGTTAGATTCTCTTATTTCGGCTATTAACTTTGCCATTTCTGCATAGCCCATCACATGGGTGTAGCCAAGGGTGGGGGCAGGTACCCCCCTATATCCTCAATCACTGTTGAAAAGCATAGAAAGTACTCAATTTTCTGAGGTTCTGCCCCCCCCCACAGAAGCCTGCCCCCCTGCAATGTCTTCTTGTCCTCTATTTATGGTGTGTTTTTTACCCGTGATTTCCCAAGAAAGGCTCAACAACTTTGACTTCCTTAAAAAAAAAAGAAAAAAGAAAAAAAGCTGAACAACTTTGGTGGCTTTTAAAAAAATATCCTGGCTACACCCATGGTCCATCTGACCTTACTTCTCCATTCTTTTTTGGTGGGGAATTCTTCCACCCATTTTTGTGCATGCATAAATCTTTTTATTTTCTTTTAAACTGCCCCTATAATCCCCAAGATTATTTTTAAGACAGTACTTAAAAAGCAAAGACATCACCTTCTCAACAAAGGTCCGTATAGTTAAAGCCATCCCAGTAGTGATGTATGGAAGTGAGAGCTGGACCATCAAGAAGGCTGATCGCCAAAGAATTGATGCTTTTGAATTATGGTGCTGGAGGAGACTCTTGAGAGTCCCATGGACTGCAAGAAGATCAAACCTATCCATTCTTAAGGAAATCAGCCCTGAGTGCCCACTGGAAGGACAGATCCTGAAGCTGAGGCCCCAATACTTTGGCCACCTCATGCGAAGAGAAGACTCCCTGGAAAAGACCCTGATGTTGGGGAAGATTGAGGGCACAAGGAGAAGGGGACGACAGAGGACGAGATGGTTGGACAGTGTTCTCGAAGCTACAAACATGAGTCTGACCGAACTGCGGGAGGCAGTGGAAGACAGGAGTGCCTGGCGTGCTCTGGTCCATGGGGTCACGAAGATACGACTAAACGACTAAACAACAACAACAACAATCCCCAAGAGAAAGGCTAACCCACCCAAGTTTCTGATGCCAAGAGACCCCGGCTGGCTTGGAGGGCTTCAGCCGGTGGGGAGTCCCACTGCAGCCCAACGGGCCTTGGGCGACAGCCTCCCAACCTCCCTCGGCAGCCGGCGCTCCTCTTCCTCATGTGGCGGTGCAGCCGCCCGGCTCTGCAAACGAACCGCGGGTCGCACGTGCGAAAGGCCGCGCGTCGTGTCGGGCAGTCCTCGTGCAAGCGAAGGCAAAGACTCCTGGTCGGGCCCTGCTCTGGAGCGCGCGGGGACGACACCACTTCATTGGTGGTCTCCCGCACGGCTTGACCTGCAGCAGCTGCCGCCGGAATTGCAACGAACGGGCAGTTTGTCCCTTCGCGCTCCCCGTAGCCGTCGCGCGCGCCGGCCGCCTGCCTTGCGCGCTGACGTCCCTCTCGCGTCAGAAGCCGCCGCGGCTGGGCCCGCGCGCGGCTCCTCCCCCTCCACCACCTCCTCCTCCGCCGGTTGCCATGGCGGCGGCTGGGGCCCCGCCCCCGTGCGGATGAGCTCACGCGGTGCCGCAGCCCCGGGAGGAGGGGGGAGGGGCGGCTGCTCCCTCACAACAAGATGGCGGCGGCGGCTGCAGCGTCCGGTGGCGGCGGCGGCGGTGGAAGCGCCGGGGGTCCCCCGCTCCCGGCGCCCGGGACCCGCCTGCCTCCCCCGGCCCCGCCGCCCTCCGCGGCCCGCCCGCCGGGCCCCGCGCGCATCGGCTACTACGAAATCGAGCGCACCATCGGCAAGGGCAACTTCGCCGTCGTCAAGCTGGCCACGCACCTCGTCACTCGCGTCAAGGTGAGGCGGGCGCGACTCTGAGGGGCCTCGGAGCCGCTCCTCCGCCGCCCGGTCGCCTGACAGCTCCGCTCCCCGAGGCTGGAGCGCGCCGCCCCCGCGGCCTGGTGGTGGGGGGTCGCGTCTGCTTCGTGCCCGGCAGCGACAAAGCGAGAGGGGAGACCAGACCAGACCGCCACCCCGGCACCGGCCACCCCGGCTCCTCTCCTTTTCCCTCCTCTTTTCCTGGGAATGCCGGCGGGAGCCTTCCGAGCCCCGCCACGCCGAGAATGTGCGTGGCGCGGCTCTGGGCATCCCCGGAGGCGTTGCAACGAGCTCCTTGGGCTTGCAGGAGACTGGCTTGGGAAGGTGGTCTTGCCCCTTTCCTCCTCGCTGTGAGGGATGCTGTTGCCGCCTCCCCGTACAGAACTTGGTCCCCACAACCAGGCTGCCCTGCTTGTGCTCCCGCTTTCCGCGCTCCGGGAGAGGGGAGGCTTCTCCCGAGAGTGCCACTTTTCCCTGCCAGAGCAAACCTGGTCCTTTCCTTTGCCTGCTGGCTCGTTGAAGTACCTGTGGTCCAGGCAGGCGCTGCTGCTGGGTTGCTGTGGACCAGCCACATGTGGCTAGGGATGCAGGCACCCTGGGTGCCTCCATGCAAAGTAGCCACGGTGGTAACTTTGAGAGCACCTTGCTTTCCGGCACTGATAAGGTTCACCAAAAAGCCGGGCACGGTCTTGCTGTCAGTTTGCACTGGGCCTCTGTTGATCTCAGACTAATAAAGAAAAACCCCTCCTCTCTCTCTCTCTCTCTCTCTCTCTCTCTCTCTCTCTCTGTGTGTGTGTGTGTGTGTGTCTGTCTGTGGAAAGGAGGTCTTTAGGAGATGGTTCAGAAACTTCATTTAGATTTTTGTTTCATTTAAATTTTGCTTAAACAGCAGAACCTTTTAAGGCTACACATGACCTGTTTTTATTCAGTGAAGGAGGATTGGAATGCTTCTGTGCTGCTGAAAAGAGCAAGGGCAATGAGCGTTGCCTTTTGTGAGGCCTGGCACCTGTTAGCAGAGCTTAGTGCCTTTTTCTTTAGTCAATTTCTTTCATATGCTTTTGGTGCATTAGCTGGCAATGCGTACCTGTGCTAGCTGCTTACGTTTGCCATGTTGGATGATGGCTTCATAGTGGCAGTGTCCCTTTCCATCAATTGGGATCTGATTTGGCATTTTTTCTGTCCAAGGTGTGATATTCTGAAACTGACCAGATTATTTCATTCATCATTTGATAAGAATCTAAACCAAAGCTGGTCACTTTCCAAGGATACTTCTGCTTGGGGCAGGACAGAATTTCCTGTCTGATCTGGTGGCAGCAGCCTTGGAATCTTACACCTTCTCTTAAAGCATGAAGCCTGACTACTGGCAGCAGTAATCTCAAGATTTTTGCCCTGTAAGCATCTTCTGAGATGGCAATTATCATTCTGCATGTGGAAAGGAGTGGTCTGGCTTGTGATGGTTGATCCCGGGTGACTGATGGGAGGAGGGTGTCACCAACTGCTCTGATGGTACTTTTGAATTCTGGGTCTGAGAGGAGAAAGCAACTTGATGAGATCAATAGTGGGAGAAAAGGGGTTTTGGGTTGTTGGGGTTTTTTTGGGTTTCCTGCCATGTAATCTATTCCTTAATCACCAGTTACTGCTGCTAAGAGTGGTCCTTGTGATTTTATTTTTTTTGCACATATGTAACTTGTAATTGAATTGTTAAATGGCATTGAAACTCAAGGACTACAATCTTTGACTCTATCTTTTACTTTCCCCTTTATATACGTACATCTATACCTGCCAACTGAGGACTATAGTTTATTCATTTGTTAAAGTGGACTCTTGTCCATGAAATAATAATAATAATAATAATAATAATAATAATAAACAAACAAATAAATAAAAATTTATTATTTATACCCCGCCCATCTGGGCGGCTTCCAACCAAATTAAAATACAGTAATACATCAAACATTAAAAGCTTCCCTAAAAAGGACTGCCTTCAGAAACTTGCCATAACAAATTAGTTGGTCTTCAACATGCTACATTGAACCAAACGCAGGTACTACTTGTATCCTCTGATCATGAAGCTGAATTTTGGGTTGTCGTCTTAGCTGCTGGGCCTTTTAGATTGATGATGTGCTAAGCAGCTGTTTGTTCATCAAATGTTGCTGAATGCAGCTTGACAGCAAGTCTGACTAACCAACATATACAGTAGTACCTTGGGCTAAGAACTTAATTCGTTCTGGAGGTCCGTTCTTAACCTGAAACTGTTCTTAACCTGAGTTACCAGGCCTCCCGCTGCTGCCGCGACACCATTTCTGTTCTCATCCTGAAGCAAAGTTCTTAACCCGAGGTACTATTTCTGGGTTAGTGGAGTCTGTTACTTGAAGCGTCTGTAATCCAAGATACCACTGTACATTATGAGAAATTCTCCTATTGTTGGAATAAGTCAGGTGAGAATAAGTCAGTGCTCCTGCTTTTTGCCTGCGGTTAATCTGGTGCCAGGGGCAGCAATGCAGAAATCTGCAGAAATCTGGAATAAAATCTTCACCTCTGTCTGCAGGCTAGTCCAGCAGAGCTTCTAGGTCAGCTCTGTTACTTGTGCTGATATTTTGTTTCTGCATAGTGTAGAAAGCAGACAGGAAGCAGTGGTCCTATGATAGTGAGTTTCTGATCTATGTAAGAAGCCCTTGGGTCCATCTATGGCTGTGGTGTGCAACATCTGAGGTGGCACAGTGCTATCGTTCAGTTTGTTTCAGAGCTTAGTTGCTGCTTTCTCCCTACCTGTGGCTCTCCAGTCGTTGCTGGACTACAACTCCCATTACCCCTGACCATGGCTCATGCTGGCTGGGATGATGGGAGTGGAGTCCAACAACAGCATATGGGTGCATGTACTCCAGGTAGTTTCCCAGGTAGAGCTATCCTCCACTGTTAAATTCATATTTAAAAAGCCTAACACAACCAGGATTACTGACAGTGGTTGATGTTAAAGTCTATGAAAATATCAGGGTAAAAGCTGTGTTAATGAATAACAGAGGCTTAGTATGGGAAGTATGAAGAACCTGCTTCTTTGAGAGTTTTCTCTGCATATCTTATGATCTGGAGCCCATTCTGAATACAAAAACTTATTGACTGAGGAGCTCCTGGATTGCTAATCCAAGGGCACCTTCCACTTGCAGAAGGTACCAGCACCCAGAAGAGGCTTCTTGCTGGAAAGTGGGTGAGGCAGGAGGAAGTAACTTCTATTTCCCCAAGCCCCCAGAATCACTTCCCATGCTGTTCTGGAATCCCCTGGAGCAGCTTTTTAGGGGACTGTAAGAGAAAGGAGGAATTGATGAAAATTGCCACTCCAACCCCTTCTTATAATGTGAGCACCGAGTAGAGCTCTCTGTTCATTATGAGAATGGATTCAGCTCATTGCATCTGACACGAGAAATCTCAATTTAAAATAAATCTTACTTTCCTCCACCTTGTTTTGTTCAGAGTGGGTCTTAGTTGCACAAAGACTTTTTCGTAGCTTCTTGGATCAAGAGACTGACTAGCATATATCTGAAATGCTTCTTGAACCTGTTGATTCACTTCTGCCAGTGGGTGGAGAAGAACTGCTGTTCCTTGGAGTCAAGTCCTCTGATCAGTTTGAGCAACTTGCATTCTGAGAATATTTAGCCTGACCCGAGTTTGTAATTCAATCAAGAGTTCAAAGTGAATTCTTGAAGGCCAAATATCTGACCTGTATTCTCAAAACATGTGTGGGTGGGTGGGGGCAGGTGAGAGACTTTGAAGAAGGGGCAGAGGATCCTTGTGCCTCTCAAAACCTTTTCATCTAAAGGTTCCTCAAGTTCATTTTGTTGTCTCCAGCAAGCAGAGTACATGACCAGCAGATGTCTGCTTATGCGGGGTTTCTCCAGTCCTTGTGTTTTTCTGTGGTCTCAATTGGAGGCAGTCACCGTAGTGATTCAGAGATGGCTGGCTGCAAACAGGCTTAGAAACAAATAGGTGATTGTTTACAAAGTCCACCAGAAAGCCTGAAGTGTTGAGCAAGGCACTAATACTGAAGTGGGAAAGTGTTGCGGGGAAATCCCCCCCCCATGCCCACCCCACCCGCCTGCATTCAAAAGCAGGCCAGTGTTTCTTCGTTAACAGGAATTCTGTCTAGGGCTTGACTTAAGTAGACTTTGGTAGGGACAGACAGATCCATGGAAAACTGGAGCCCTGGGGCAATATCCAAAGGCTTCACAGAGTTTTTGTGATAGTAATTGAAACATGGGGGGGTGGGTGGATCTGACTGCAGGAGAGGTTACCCATCTATTTCCCCCCTGTCTGCTTATGGTGAAGCTACAGAATCCAAGAGTCCTGTTTGTTAAGAGCTCTTGGAGAATGGAACTCCCAGTAAAATTGGCAAAGCCACAAGCATGGAAAAATATGGAGCATGCTTCTGTTTTACAACTCTGAGGATCATTTTGGAAGGGCAAATAGGTGAGAGGAGCTGTTGTATTAGACCAATAATATTTCATGGTTCACAGAACTTGTCATTGTTTTTTAGATTCTGGGAGACTCAGTGTGGCTTGCTTCATACAAGTCTTAAGTTCTTGCTTGTTACAGGGGTAACTTTATTGCCTACTTGCTTTTCTTTATGGAAGATCCCTTGCTTCTCAGTAGAGACTTCTAGCTTTCCCAGTAGCCTTTCTCCAGTCTCCTTGTCTGTCAGAAATTCTTTTGAGCTTAGCACTGGCAAGATTCCTTCTAAGCACAAGGCCACAAACACTGTTGAAATGGACCCTTTTACTTAAAAGCGCAGATGGTCCATTTATTTACTGCGTTCTTGCTAACCTTGAAAATATGTTTGCT